GTCAATAGCTCTGTCTCATACTCACTGGGAGATTACACAGGGCACAGGAGTTGTGAGTCACTGGGAACCATGTCAGAAGTTATCTACCTCCTTCTCCTCCAGCCCCATCTCTTGCTGGATAACTTTCATCAATTGTATCTTCCACGTGGGGTCCTCTCCCTTCCATGTTGCTGAACGGTCTCCTGGAATTCTTTTTCCCTGCCTCATTTCCCCCAGCAATTTAGCTCCCCAATCTCACTTGAAAGATTTATTTACTTCAATTTTATATATATATCAGCATGTATGCCTGCATGTATGTATGTGCACCACATGTATACCTGAAATTGCAGAGGCCAGAAGAGGTTGTCAGTTCCCCCAGAATTGGAGTTATAAGCACACCCCATAAGGGTGCTGGGAAACAAACCTGGGTCCCCTGCTAGAACGGCAAGCACTGTCTTTCCTGCTCCCCTCTCACTTTAAAAGCAGAGGCTAAGATCTATCTATTACGAACTTATATGTGCCAGGAGCTCTCCCAATTTATCTTTTTACTCTCTGTGATATAGACTAGTCTCAATTCCATTTTACAGAGTAGAAGGCTGAGCGGTGATGAGGAGCCACAAAAAGGGAGAAACTTGTGCCCCAAATCATGAAGCAGCACGTCCCTCATTCTGCTCCTGCCCAAAGCTTATAAAGGCGATTTGCTGAGATTATCTTCCCCTCCAAAATAAATGAAGCTACCAACTTTTCAACAATATGTAAAACTAATATTTATGTTGCCAGTTTCTGTGTGGGAAAGCAAAGGATTCTCGTTCATGACTCCTTTATTTTCTCAAATTACCATTCTGGAGGACTCTGAACACAAAACACCCCAGAACTGTAAATGTCATCAGGAGAGGTGCTTAATCTCTCACTTGAATGGTTTTCTTCCCACGCCAATTGATGTATGATAAGGGGGACCTTGGTGATAGCTGGCATTTACCCCATCCTCTCAAGATATTAAAACATCAAATATAGACATTCATAAGCCTTTGGCTTAGTTGTAGCTTACGGCTAGAGCTCAGGGCATGAAGAGATCTGATATCATGGTGACATGCCATGTGTTCAGGATGCTGTGGGTCTTGGGATGATCTCAAAGCCCTTGGCCGACCTGCTGCCTTCATCTTCCCGCATAGTGCCACTGAAGCCTCTGGGGAGGGACCGAGTGCCTGGGGATGGCTGTGCCCTGGGATTGTACCCGGGCGGTTGCATTCCCTCCTGGACTTCCACAGAAAAGCTGGTCTGATAGCAGCCAGGGTGACCTCTTTCCCTATGAATGGCTTCTTACCACTGCACTGACTATGCTCTGCTGTAATCCACCGACAAGGGAAAGGGCAAATGTTTTTAACTCGGAGTTTTTCTCAGCCCAGCACTGTGTTCCTAGAAGCCATAAGCTGTCATGTAAGTCATTATAAATCCAACACGTATTGTCTGTTATGTGCCAGGTTCTATATCTTTTCTCTCAGTTTCCTATTTTTGTAAAATAAAGTTACATTTCAGCTTATTAAATGTATATGCTAGAATCTTGACAATTTTACAAAACTCTGAATGCTTTTGAAAGGGACCAACTGCCCTGTAGAAATGATTACCACTTAGCCAGACCTGCCCTGGTTGGAACCCCCAAAGATGGTGGCTACTTTTTCTTTTGTGGATTCAGTTTCAAAATCTATTACATTAGTGTCATGAAATGAGTAAGTTGAAAGTTCTGTCTTGTATGTATACTGCTCTGGTATTTACAACCTAAGTAACAGATCGAACAAAGTAAGTTTCCAGACCTAGTCTTGACAGTAGATTTAAGAATTATACAGGTTATATGAATATATTGGACATGTCCCCAGTGGTAATACAGTTTGCTAGCTCTGCACTGGGAGCTAAGTAGAAGTAAGGGACTGTAGAATTTTTTAAATATTAAAAAAATATTTTTTATTTTTCTTTTATTATGTGTATGAGTGTATTGCCTATATGTGTGTGAGTGCACCCGTGTCATGCAATGCCTGTGGAGGTCAGAGAAGGCATTGGATCTCTTGGAACTGGAGTTATGGGCAGTTGTTAGCCACAATGTGGGTGCGGGGAATCTAACCTTTGTAAGAGCAGTTAGTGTTCTTAACTGCTGAGCCATCTCACCAGCCCCGACTGTAGAATTTTAAATAAGTAGGACAAGGTTTCTTGTATTTTTTTTCCTCACGGTATTTCCTTGTAACATTGCAAATTAAAACTTTGAATGTGAGAACTGACTTAATATTGCAATGTTAAAAGCACTATCAAATAAGAGAATTTATATTTCAAATGCAGTTTTAAAAGTACTGCTTCATTGAGAGTCTGAGGTTTAGAACTTTCACAAAATGATAATTAAATGTACATAAATTATATTTATTTATTTATTGTTTTGTCATGTAGCCTAGAGTAGGCTTGAATTTATGACCTCCTGCCTCTGCCTTCCGAATTCTGTGATTACAAACACATGACAATAAGTCAACTCTGACAAGCATTTTATTATTATTTTATTTTATGTGTGTGCGTGTATTGCTTGTATGTATGTGAGTGTACCCGTGTTGTGCAATGCCGTGGAGATCAGAGGAGGGCGTCGGATTCCCCTGGAACTGGAGTTAAGGACGGTTTGTAGCCTCCACTCCGTGTGGGTGATGGGAATCGAACCTGGGTCCTCTGTAAGAGCAGTCAGTGCTCTTAACCGCTGAGCCATCTCTCCAGCCCCTGACAAGCATTAAAAAAAAAGAACTGACATGGTATAGGATTTGGTGAGTCAAGACTGGTGCTCACTACCTATGATCTTGGATAAGTTACTAGCTTATGTTGGGAAATGTAGTAGTTTGTTTTTAAAAGTCACATATTGTTATAGACTAAGTTGGGGTATTTGTGGTGGTGCTTATAACATTACAACGCCTGCTTTCGGCTTGCCATTGGTATATAACTTCAATTCAAGGACACTTGTGCCTGTGTAGTAGTGCCCCAGTCTGATGAGTTTCAACACAGGTCCCATGTTTCAGGGACCTCAGTGGAAAGGATTCGGAAACTTGCAAACCTATATGGGTTCCTTTAAGAGAACCCCCAAGTTCTCTGGGGCCTATTCTCCTTGCTATTTCAAACAACTTTCTGAAGTTTCTAGTCTTGACTTTCTAATTTACCTTTTTTACCGCATTTCCTCTTTCCCCTCATTAGCACGGCTGTTACACAGCACAAACAAGGCCTAGACAAAAGGGTCCCTTAACTCTGAACTCAGGGAGAAATGAACCATCAGACAAAGTGCCTGATGGCTAGCTTTAGGTGGCAACTTGACAATTATTCTTTGCAGAGAAAAAAATGACTAGTTAAACTGATCACAACTAGAAACTGTGTTCTGAATTACTTAGGAGAATATAACTTAATTTTCAGTTGATATTGAATAAAAATCAGTTTTTAAGCTTTGTTTATTGGATATTCAGGATTAAAATATGAACAGTGACTAAGGGAAAAGAAGGAAAGAGCTAGCTGAGAGCCGCACTTATTTATTGGTTGCTCAAGAAGCCAAGTCCCCTCCGCAGAGAATTAAAACCCTGTTGCCACTTGATTCGCGGCGCTTATAGATATCAGACTCAGAACAACTCCCAATCATGCTTATGTGATAGAACTGATTATAATTTTTTATTTTTTAATTATTTTTTTGGCTTGTAGCTGCAGTTGTTCTGGAACTCACTATGTAGACCAGACTGGCCTTGATTTCACAGAGATCCACCTGCCTCTGCCTCCCAAGCGCTGGGATTAAAGGTGTATGCCACCATGCCCACCTTCACTAGATTTTTAGTCACTTGTGAATGCCTTCCTTATTTTAGATCCCCGAATATTCTATTTTTGCCTCAAGATTTTCTTTGAAAACATAGATGGCAGAGGCAGGCGGATCTCATTGAGTTCAAGGCCAGCCTTGTCTACATAGTGAGTTCCAGGACAGCTGGGGCTACAGGGAGACCCTGTCTCAAAAAGCCCCTCCTGAAAAAAAACATAGATGGCAATTGGCTTTGAATTAAATCACCACAATTTAATGTCATGCACTCACTCTCACTCTCACAGGGCATTTACCCTGCTCATTCTGGACCCTGAAGTCTGATGTCTGGCTCAGTGTGACTTGTTCCATAAGGAATTGGGGAACTTATACATTATTTAGGATCTATATGAATTTGTTGTTGTCTTCTTAAAAATAGAAAAAAAGTGTTGGAAGGATCAAATGAGAGATGCCGAATCCAATTTCTGAAAGAGGCAGTGCTTAGGGGTAACAAGTATTGCCAGAGATTCGTTCATCCTTGGTTTGCAAATACAAGTTTTGAAAAATTCATGCTAGACACAGAGTCCCGCCCAGCTGACTAAGCTTCGGTTTTACAAAGTGTTACAGAAATCCTGGGACGTATATGATATAGACTTCGTCCCCACCGCCACAACAGGGTCAGAAGAGACCCTGCGTAGTCCTGGGCAGGCACTGGAGCCAGTGCACGCTTCGCTAATGACATCATTTCCCGCCCCAGGCTCACACCACCCACATTACTGGAAGAATCCTGCCATTTTTCTTCCTTTTCATTCATGATCCTCTGAGGAGCAGAAAGTTCTGGTAAAAAGTTTCTAACAAAAAACATTGTTACTCATTGTTTCTCAGCTGTTTAGTCTTAGATTCATTCTTGCACCAAACATTTTCAGTATATGTTGTGGGTGTGTACTGAAGGTGATGGGGGAAAGAACGGCTGTGTGAGGTCAGTACTTATGGATGAAATACTGGCTTTAGCAGAAAAGACTAACACTGAAAATTTGTTGTGTCTATAGAAGTGACCAAATACTCAGATATGCCCGTGGGCTCTGTGGCAAGACAAGAACCAGAGCCAGTTGGACTAGAGCCAGCAAGCACGCAGCGTTCTGCCGCCTCGATGATGCACAGTCATCCTCAGAACGTGGCCTTCTAGATCAAACCTGCAGTCCTGAGACTTTTCTGTCTTCTTTCTCTGTAGATATACGATGGGTCAAGCTACACAACCACCCGCGTCGCAGATGTGTGTGGAAGGCAGCGACCTCCTAACTCCATCACCTCGTCAGGAAATAGCCTCTTTGTGAAATTCCAGGCTGGCTCCTCCAGACAGAGCAGGGGCTTCCGAGCTGAATTCAGGCAAGGCAAGTTCTCTGCGGGGCTCTTGAGCCCTTCTTGGTGCTGGAATGACACCGGACCTCAGACACTGATCACAGCTCCCAACTTAACATGCAACCCGTTTATTTAATTAAGAGGGAATTATGACTTACCGGTATTCTAACTGTTTATACTTGGACCTTCATTTACCTTACATGATGGTGACATCTTAGGATCTGTATACCTCTTAAGCAATGTATTCTCAATGATTTTAGAATAATGCTTAATTATCTAATACCAGAGATGTATAAATTTTAGCCAAATTCATTTATCTAGCACCTATCAGAGGAGGTACACGACTGTAAAGTTACAAGTGTTTGTAATGTGGGGTCAGAATCTGACCCCAGGGAGTGGATTTTCTTATTGCTGAATCCTGTTGTTTTCCATTGTTTTTGTTCTTAAGTCACTCCAGTCAGATATATACATAAAACTTGTCTTGTGATATATATGATACATCACTGCCAGTACTTTCAAAGAAAAAACAGTTAATACTTTTTTAAACATCTTAATATTCCCTTATAGTTTGAGCCCTACACTAATCATGCCACTGAAGGGTCCCATGTCTGTCCTTTCTCAATGTAGCTTGGAAGATGAAGGCCAAGCCCCTCCTGTTAATACAGTCCTAGACCCAGCCTTTACCTCTTGCTGGTACCCTGTGTCTTTGCTCAGGTTGCCCACCCCCCTTCAGTAACACTCTTATCCCTCCAAGCATTGGCTCAGTCCTCCTCCTTCAGAGACTATGGACTCAACAGCAGCAATACATTCTCCTGCTCCTCAGCTCACACAAAGCCAAGTGCAGTCATCGTTATACACTATTTTCTAGAAAACAAGAGGCCATTTATAAACAAAGTATCCTCATAATTCATGAGTGAACAGAGTAAATGAATCAAGACCATGGTATTGTTTGAATGATGCAGATAATTCATAGCCATTTAATCTGCTGTTCTATGCCACTTCCCTACTTCCTGTAATTGAAAAATATTATTATAAATGTAATGTGTTTTCCCATTTTCTGATGGTTTATGTGCAGCTCCTTAGCTGCATTGTGGAAATAAGGAGAAATTATTTGCATCTTCATCCATCTAATGATTGTTTTGTATAGTTGGTAAAAATCAAAAACAAGTGACCCTTGTGTGTTCGTGCTCCCCAGTGTGTGGAGGCTACATCCTCACTGACTCTTCGGGTAGTATTTCCTCTCCACTGTTCCCGAAGGCATATCCGTCCTACCAGAACTGCAGCTGGATAATTCAAGCTCAACCTCCATGTAAGTAGACAACATAAAAAGCAGGAGGCTCCAGGGCAAGCCTGAGGGAAGGCACTGGCTAAGTAGTACACTTATCTTTGTGGCAACAGCAGATGCCTGTGCTGTCCTTTCAGAAGTCCCAGTTCCTTGTGTGCACAAAAACACGCATCTTCTCATCCGATGGGAGGCACATTTTTAACTGGTTCATATTAATTTAAAAGAATTTTAAAGGTTGGATATAACAAAGAGTCCCAGTTCCTTGTGTGCACAAAAACACGCATCTTCTCATCCGATGGGAAGCACATTTTTAACTGGTTCATATTAATTTAAAAGAATTTTAAAGGTCGGATATAACAAAACTAGCACTCTGAAGGTTAGGAGAGGAAGACTGTGACTTGGAGAGTTACCTGGGCTCAACAGTAAGTTCAAGGACAATCCTAGTAACATAAGGAGACCTTGTCTTTAGAAAAACACTAAGGGCTAAGGAGCTGAGCATATAGCTTAGTGGGCAGAGTGCAAAGTCCCAGGCTTGAACCCAACACCACATAAACCAAGAGTGGTGGCCTGTGCCTCTAGTTCCAACACAGGTTGAGGTAGGAGAAGCAGGAGCTCATGATCATCCTCTGCTCAAGTCCAGTTGGAGGCCAGCCTGGGAGAGAGGAGACCCTGCTCCCTGAATATATAAGCGAACCAAAACAAACAAACAAGGGGATGTGGTTCCTAGATCACTTGCCTAACCTGCACAAAATCCTGGGTTGGATCCCCAGCACTGTTAAATAATATTCTTCTGTTACTTTGTTGTGTGGGCGGGCATGTGAGATTGGGCCTAAGCAGAAGTAACCAATCTATAAACAGCTCTTTGTGTGTGTTCCTTGAGTATGGTAGATACTCAAGATGGTTGATGAATGAATAAGTAAATGTCAGGAGTATACGCTGCAGAATTACTTTTCAGTTGGAGGACAAGCTACTGGTCTTCAGTCAAATAGGAAACTAACTAGAAATCTTAGTCTCTCCTGCCATGTGTATATTTTTAAAAAAAAGAAAAAAAAATCCCAGCATAGCTGGGAGAAACATTCAATAAGTGCTTACTTTATTTTCTTCTTTGGAATCCTAGAATTCTATTTTCTGATATGGTAATAGTTTTTCCACATTTTATAGGCAGCGAGAATGAGATGACCCTTACAGACATTGCAAAATGGCTCCAAAGAGGGTAATCTGGCCCTATTATGAATTCTGTTTCATGTGAATCCTGCCGTCCTCTAAGGCTTACTGGAAGAATTTATGATTTCAGATACAATGTAGGAAAGTCATTAAGTTCTCTCCTCAGCTCTTTAATGGCCTGTGTGAAAACAGATTAGTCACTCAAGCTAAGCAGGCCCCCGTACAAAATAATTTACAAAGGTGTTTGGCTTAATATTAGCTAAAACTTTCCCAAACTGATAGTATTTTATGGCCATGCATGAGCTGTCTGGGTTGATTATGTAATCCTCAGCCCTTGCAGAGGGAGAGGGTGGAGCCCTTAACTAAGCAGGGATAAAGAAGCCCCCTGCCTTGAGCCCAGCAGTTTTGTGCCTACGGATTATTTTCTAATGAGCTGTAAAAGCAATCAGATGGAAGCTCTCAGGGCTTCAAGGACAGCAACAGGAAAAGATCCCATTCTGAAGATTAGGGACTCTGGAAGAACAGCAAAGGGAAAATGTACCCGGGCACTTGCTGTTCTGCAAGTAATTCAAAGCTGTCTTGATAGATGACTCGGAACCTCTAGGGCAGCAGTTCTGGCTCCAGAATAAACCTGATGTGCTAGGATGTGTGTCTAGTGGAAGAAGAATGTCTTGTGAAGTGTCTGTTAAGAAGCAGAATCAGGGCCCAGTATAAAAAACCTGGTAAAGATTGAATCTTCCAACACTTCCCAGAGTCCCTGGGATGAACCTACTCAGGAGTCCTGTTATTTACCGTGACTGATGTTTCAGATTCCACAGGCATTTTCAAAAGCTTCAGTTCTGGTGCTCTTCAAAGGAGGCCCTTTAGCATGAAGTTGAGCCCCTCTCTCTAACTGCCCACCCCCACCCCTGTGCAAAGCTGCCAAATTCCTTACTTCCCTGCTGGAAACCACTCATCTGAATGTATTGGAGACAAAATTTCTCTGTCTGCTTGCCAGCCCTTTATTAACTAATCCCCCTCTGTTTTCTTGCAGTCAATCACATCACTCTCTCCTTCACCCAGTTTGTACTTGAAAACAGCATGGACTGCACACGTGACTTTTTAGAAATTTTGGATGGTAACGACTATGATGCACCTGTTCGAGGTACTAGGGACTCCCTCATTTATATCTGTGGTCTTGGCCTGTGTTATTTATATATCTATATATTAATTCATTGATATTCAAGGTTAGGGTGTTTCTAGTAAACATGAAGAGCCTCATAAGCCGCGTTAAGATTATTCAGAGGGAAGGAAACCGATAATGCAGGGTTCAAGAAACTCAGCTTGTTTATATTCCAAGATATAGATATTTTGTGTATTTAAAAAAAATTCTTCTGAATTACTATAGTCTGAAGTGGTCAGTGAGATGAAGTCCATTCTAGCCTTAGAGAGAATTCTTTTCAAAATTTTTGGTCCGTCTTAAAAATAGTTCTTCTAATTAGATCGAACATGTACTTTGTCTTCAGTAGAGGAAACATTTTTAAATTAATTAACTGATATAATTAAACATCCCAATGACATTGAAGTATGTACTATCTAGCTTCTAAAATGTTTTCAAGCAAAATAGTCTCAGATGCTTTAAGCTTCCCCCATGAGCTTTGTGTCAGGCAAGCATCTCACCTGGTCCTGGAAGCCATGCCGCCAGAGAAGACTGTTTTGCTTACTGCTTCATTCTTGTGCCCAGAACTGAGCCTGAGAGAATTGCCAGAAAACCACGCTGTGTTGCAGGCACCTCTTGTGCTGTCTTTTTGGACCAAGGACAAGGGCATGCTATTTAACAAACACTTCTTTCATACTGCCTTGTGTGGAGTACTATTCTAAGTACTTTATAAACAGTAACTTAGTCATTACGCCCTTATAGCACAGGTTAAATTATTTTCAATGTCTCTTCTTCACGGTGGGGAAAGTGAGTCACAGAGAGCCTAAGTAACTTTCCTCAGGCTATGTAGCTAGTAAATGGCAAGCCAGGCTCTGAGTCTATGTAACTTGATTCCATCGTCCACTCTGCTGTGCTACAAAACACTGAGACTAAGTTCTCCAGCGCTAACTGCTCAGTCCTTACTGGGTTGGAAATTGTAACGTGAGTCAGATTTGGAGCCTACTCACCCCAATTCACCTCCTGGCCCCCATTGCTCTTTATCATGTTTGTGAGTTATTCTGGCTGTAATTGCATCTGGAGTTTACTTTTCATGCTCAGGTATTTTCTCAGAGTCATCTGATTTGAGGTTCTCCTAGTGGGGATTCCTTATGTGTACTTAGGTCTCTTGTAGTCCCAGTAAAGATGTGTGTGGCAGGTGCCATGCCACTGCTCAAGACTTAATGCTGTCTTTACTCTTTAGGCCGATACTGTGGCTCCTCCCTACCCCACCCCATCACATCCTCAGGCAATGCCTTGACACTGAAGTTCATCACTGATTATGGAGCCAATTTTAATGGTTTTCATGCCATATATTCTGCAACAACTTCGGGTAAGAGGCTAATGATGACTGTGCTAGATAGCGAGCGCATGGTGGATATCTTGGTGGATATCTTTGGTTTGGTATTTGGAACCCTTTTACCTTCAAATTTGTCCTTGTGCCTATTTTACAATTAGATGCTATGTAAAGTCTAACCACACTGGGCTCTGGACGTGAGGAGAACTAACTGGATATCTGGCTATCTTTGAGCTAAACCTCATCGTCTTAGGGACTTGCTCTCCAGTGGGCTGCAGCACGTTTGCTGAGGTGGTTCATTACTACCAGAGTTAGATGGAAGCACTTACAGATGGACAGCCTCATGCCTGTTATCCCCTTCCTGGCTTGCTGCTGGTGCCCGGACAGGGGCTGCTCATAATGAATCACATGGACAGGAGAGGAAAGAGGTGCCATCTAACACTGGGGTGCTTGGCCAAAAGGGGGCTATTTGAATTGCCAGCTCCCTTGTTGCAACCAAAGTGTAAAAGGCTGCTCTGTGTGTTTCCTTCTGAGGGAGGAGCTGGAAATTTCTGTTCAGGCCAAGAAAAAGCGCGGTCTCTTCTCAGCCAGTGTTGAAGATCATCCTTCAGCACTCCAGATCAAGTGACTGGAGGGTTACAAACAAGTCCTTCGTTACCCAAGTTCCAGTTCACATGGAGGAAAGGCCCCTCTGGCCCACCACACTGTGGAGCTCTTAATTTTCTGTTTTCAGACTCTTTCTTCCTTTATAATATGTGATATGGATTGTTGTTAATGTGAGATGGAAACATCGCATGCCTCACAGCTGCGATGGCACTAACCTTCCTTTGTCTCATGGTTCTCGCCTCGAGTCTTTGCTCTGAAACTCCCTTGTTTCTCTTTCCTTCCAGCTTGTGGTGGAACCTTCCACATGGTTGACGGTACCTTCAACAGCCCTGGCTACCCAGACTATTACCCGGCTTATGTGGAATGTGTCTGGGACATTGTCAGTTCCCCTGGCAACCAGCTGCAGCTGTCCTTTATGTAAGTTCTTTTCTCTGTGTTTTGTTTCATGAATCTGCAGGAAGGAAGTGCTGTTACTAAGAGGGTTGGGAGACTAGCAGCATGTGTGTTCAAGCAACTGCTAGAGAAATCTTTTCCTAAATTTCCTCTGTTTTAGTCATAGTTTGAATTATAGATAATAAGAAGTCTCCCAAGAATGAGTTTAGGGTTCTGCCTTACCCTTACCAGAATGTATTCTTGATCTTTTGGTGAATAAATTTGTGGAACATTTATGTTCAGAGAAAAGTGATTCTATCTTTTCCTAGAATTAGGCACATTCAGGTCTCAAGAATCAGCAGCGTGGCTCCTCTCAGCTGGGACTGCCTGTCTCCACTAAGCCTTCTTTATCCACATGCTGCATCCCTGTTCCAATCCACCCTTCCTTTCCTATCAGAAACAGGGTCTTGGGAGGTGATTTGTTTGTTTTGTCTTAGCTGTTGATTTGCAAAATCCCTTTCATGCTTTTCATTGAACTGGAACGTTTTGAACATGGGCTATGGGTATGGAATGAATGTCATCACATTCCAGGTAGTGTTAGGTTAAGCTAATCAACAATAATATTTCCCAGAAGTAGATGTAAAAGTCACATGGTATGTGAAATAGGATGTGTTAATCAATCAGTAGAGAGGTTCTGCTGACATGCCACGCTGATAATGGGTACTTAAGAAATGGGCAGTGAAGATGTGTTGGCATTTAAATTACAGTTTTGAGTTAAACATCATGTGCCACGCTGTATTAGTATTATTGGTGTAAGGTTGGGATTGTTAATTCTTTGTTATTGTTGCTATTGTTTTTTAGTTCTCAGTGTGTAGTCCATAGTGGCCTCAAACTTGTGATCTTCCCGCCTCTCCTTCCCGTGACTGTAGCATCATAACGCCTGGCTGTTAGTTCTGTTTTAAAAAGAATATAAATGCCTCAATGTTGAGAGAAGAGAAATGTTTTGAGGATATGGGCCTGTGTGTTCAAAAAGCTAGATCTTCCTCCTAGCTGTGCCCATATGCACATCAAGAACTAATTAAAAAATGAGACAACAGTCCTATTGATGGAGGAAGTTCAAACATTTCAAGTTGCCTTCTTTAATTCGTCAGTCAGAATATGTCTCGTCAGAGTACAAGTGGCATTGTGCCACAAAGACACTGTCTGTGTACCCGAGAGGCAATGCAAGTTCAACAGCCACATGGGAAGAGGGTTCGGGGCTGTCTTTGTCTTCTCTAAAATCATGACGTTTCTTATTGTAACAAATCTATGCCTAATCATCTCTCCATGATGGTGATGTGTGTTTCTCCTTCTATTCAACAATTTCCTATCAACACCGGAAGCTCATAGAGGCACATGCTCTTCTGCCGGATGTTTTATTCACAAGGATGAGCACAAACCATTACCGTTGTCTCGGTGGTGAAGTCCAAGGTCATTCACTAGACCTCAGAGTTCACCAAGTGTGCTAGTTTCTGTAAGGTTCATGAAAAGACAGGACCATAAGAGACCATTCTGAGGCAAAAACCAGAAGAAATTTATTGGGATGTAGGAGCTGCTGGACTGCTTCCACGGGAGAAAGGGAGCAGCAGTTTCTCGTCACAGCAGGCTGGGTTTTATAGGATTTTTCTTTTGTGGATGGGGGGAGGTGAGACTGTAGCAGGAGGGTGAGTCGGTAGCAGGTGCCTTGTAGGAGCCATTTCAGTTGGAGGTTTTCCAGTTTTTCGGTTGGCTGAGATGGAAAATTGCTGTTATGATCAGGGTGCGCTATTAAAACAAAGGTCAGTTGGTTACTGAGAAACTAGGATGGTTTAGTTTGTTTCCCAGAATGCTGCCCACCAGGTTGTGATTGCCATGTTGCTGTCAGTAGTGACTCCATCTTGGGACTCAATTCAGCCTACTGGTCTCTTCTTCCATCTCTACCCATCCACATTATTTGCCCCTTTGATGTGCTACCAGGAACTAGGTGACACACTGGGAAAGATTTAAGGCTCTTGGTTCTTGACAAATTATTGATATGTCAATTTCAAGAAGCTCTTGAGTGGAAACCTCAATAGATTCAAGGGACAGTAATAAACTTGTAGGACTCATGTTAGTGTTAAGGAAGCCAAATTCAAAATGCATAGCACACTTTGTTCAGAGAAGGTTACTTCTCTCAGCCTCTGCTATTTCTGAAAAATCTAGGAACAAGTCCAGATGGCCCACACCTAGAGGATGGCCCTTAGAAACACACCAAGTTTCATCTACTTTACTGGCTAAAGGATATTAAATTCTAATGACTAAACAGAAAAATTGAAGTGACTCGGTTATTTCCTTCCTAGGCTATATGAAGTTACTCTTGACTATTTTGTATTGCTTACTTGCGTTTTGCTGTTAAAACGGGTTTGTAGGACACAAGCTGCTTTGGCATGTGTTGATGATCATAAGAAGGCTTCATGGCAAAGCCTGTGAGTTATTTCTGCCCTCATCTAAACTATATCCAGATGGGTACTTAGAACTTCTCCCTGGGGTATGGGAGAAGCCTATGAACCACATCAAATCCTGAAACATAGGGTTTGGATTATGGATGCTGCAAGGGTAAAACTGAATAGGGAGAAAAGTTGGAGAAATCATGGTTGAATTTGCAATGAAAAGAAGAGGGTGGAAATAAAACCTAAAAAGGAGGTTTATTTTGTAAGACAAATGTTCAGATGATTTAACAGAAATTGTCCTTTATGGAGGCAAAGGACTTTTAGGAAGTAATTGGTCCTGGTTCAAGAACTGAATGAGATCATTGGAAACAGAAAGCATATTATTTTTGTTGCACATTGTATTTTTTTACTGACAGATTTTAGCCAAAGGGTAGATTTGCTTATAAAATGTACCAACCTAAAACAAAGACTTCTAAGAATAAAGCTTTAAAAAAAAAAGTTTAGTTTGACTTTTGTAAGTATTATCCTGCCACAATTCCTAATGAAAAGACTTTCCTGCTATTTAGCCCTGGAATATATAGTCTAGTATTTAGGAAAGACCTTCACTTTCTAGTCTCCTGGATAATTACTCAAAATTTTAATCTGCACAGGGATCACTTGAGTTTTGTTAAACTTTGCATTCTGATTCAGTTGCCTGGTGGCACTCGATTCTTTATTTCAAACGAGCTTTCAGGTGGTGCTGTGGCTGCCGCTGCACACCAGACCAGTAGGAAGGTCTCAGAGGTGCTCTCGTAGGATTCTCTGCCTAGGAAAATGATCTCCCTTTCTCTTTTCTCAGAAGCAGAAGCAAACAATTTTAACTTATTTCACAGCATTTTCAGTAATAAAATGGAGCCTGGATTAGAGGAACCAAGGTGTCAGCCATCCTAAAAGTACATCTGTATCAATTCCTTCAAAACATTATGTAGATATGAACTGTGTGTCATAAAGCATTGGATGCAAGCAAGGAAGGACAGGTTTTTAGTTTGCTTTGCTTGTTGTGGATACGTCTCAATTTTGTCTGCTTCTCAAGTAACTTGCTCCCCAAAGTGCATCTACAATACAGTCTAGACGGTCTAGATTTTGCTCTTTACCTTCTCTACCTTGGAGGGCTCATGAGAGCCATTGACTCACCATCTCCTGGCTGGAGACCTACCAATGCTATATCTGCTTTGAAAAACTTGGAACTGAACAGAGCAGTCAGTTTGCACTCGCGTCCTGAACTGCAAAGAATACTCAGTTATGTGCCTCATATGTTGATTCCGTAGTGGAGTGTGAGGTGGCCAGCGTCTCCATGCTGGCTGTTGCTAAGCATCCTAATCCACTAGTGGAGACACTGTGCTCTCCAAAGCTTATTTTTTCATTCTGGAAATACTTTTATAGGTTTCTTTCTTGACCATTTTTCTTTATAGTTGTACTGGGGTTTTCTCTTTGTTTCTTTTTCTGTCTTGTCTTTCTGCTTAGCAAAACTCCCTCTAAGAACGTAGGGAAAGAGAATAGTGTACATTTGCCTGCCTCTTTTCTTGTTTAATTTTTCCAGTTGTAAAACTTAATTTTGAGACCTTTACAGACTGCCTGAGACTGCCTCCCCAAATCATGCCATGCCCATCCCCCTACACAGGACCATATGGGGCCCCTCCCGCAGTAGAAGGGCTAGGCTTCTCTGCCCTTCAGTAGGGCCCCAGACCTTCGTAGACTGCCTGAGAGTGCCTTGATCCAGCCCCCATGTGGTGGTGAGCTTCTCAAATCATGCTGTGCACATCCCTCTACACTGGGACCACCTGCAGTCCATCCTACCACCCAAAGGCTTCTCTGCCCTTTAGTAGGGGCTTAGATCTTTGTAGACTGCCTGAGAATGCCTAAATTGGGCCTCCCCTAAGAAATTTCCTAAATTGTGCTGTGACTGCTAGCCAATAAGGGCCCATACCTTAGGAAGAAGCCGGAGAGTACCTGACTGACACCTTACTTGGGCTTCTGTGGAGCTCCTGAGTAGCTGGACTGAAGCCATCTGGTCTCTCCAATATAAACTCCAAAGAGAACCTGAAGCCTAGACCAGTCAACTTTACATACCCAATAAGAAAGGAACCAAGACACACCAACAATACAAACAGAAGCAGACTTCAACTCAACAAAGGAAGGCTTGAGTTTCATACTAGAATCACAAACAACAAAAGAAATCCACATTCAAAATCACAACAGAAGAAAAATAATAACATAGAAAACCAAAATAATATGTTCCCAACAAACACTACCAGTCCAATAGAAGAGGTCTATAAGGAGAACCCCCTAGAAATAACCCAGGCCACAGAATTTAAAAGAACAATCATAAGTATGATGAAAGAATTTAACAAATTTAAAGAGCACCCAAACAAACAAATCAAAGAACTAAAAGAAGATAGGGATAAACTTCTGACTAATTTCATAAAAGAGATAGAAACACTGAAGAAAACTCAACTGAAATGAAGAAGGAAGCGAAACACTCAATAAGTCAATTTGAAAACACAGGAGAAAGCCTCACCAATAGGATGAATGAAATGAAAAACAGAATATCAAGATCGT